ATATATATATATATGCACACATTATATCATATACGCATATATATATATATATATATATATATATTATATATATATATTATATATATATGCCGTTTTCTGGTATAAGCAGCATTGTCCAGGAGTTGGCGCTTTTACACGGTGGCGTCTGCGGGCTGCGCGCGCGCCGCCTTGCAAGGTGCCCATGTCGGCGGTCGTCAGGGTGTCGGTACGAGGCTGTCACGGCATGCCCTAGCGATTGCTGTCCCTCGCTCAGGAGCTGATCACAAGGCGTCCCAGACACGCAGATGATCACTGCCACAGCGATTGACACTGGACAATGCACGATGTCTGAGGTGACCCGAGCGCCGCCTCATCCCCCGTCAGAGCCACTACTGGATGGCTCGGCCCCCAGCGACGGGTGACGCCGACGGTCGCCAAAACAACACCATCCGGGCGGACTTCTTCGAGCACGAGCCCACTGACATCAAGGCCGGCGTCCAGATCCGCGAGCTCTCCAAGGTCAGGGCCGGGGTCAGAGGTCAGGTCAAGGTCAGCCAGGGTTCTCAGTGGGCAGGTCGGCCGTCATGAAATGACGTCACGAATTTGTGCGAGGCTTGCCGGGTGGATCAGTCGGTTAGAGCACCTGCCTCCCAATCTACCCATGGTGGGGTTAGGTGAGTTTAAGTCGCTTCCACGCGCTCCATGGGTAAGTTCGAGTCGATTTCGTTCCAACAGTGAGTCCCACTCGCTATTTGCAGTTGGATAGCAGCGGTGTTTCAAGGTCGCATAATGCCAGGGGAAGGAGCGGCTCGTGCCGAATATTGCAAAAGGCTATACTTTCGCCTCAAATGATACCCTTGAATTAGAATTCCATTATCTGAAGGGGCAGGGATTCAGGACTCACATAACAAGTCTTACTTGGAGTGAACTCTAATATCAGAATAATCAAATTATAACGTTGGAACGAAGTTAAAAAAAATTAGCATCAGGCGTGCGGAGGTGGCGTTACGATTCGTGGGCGGCTTCGAGGCTAAGCGTGGCAAAATATGGCATCAGGAATGTTCTTGAGGTTAGATGCTGTGATGTGTGACGCACCTCAGCGATCGGGACCAGAGGGTTCCCAGTCATGTCTAGGACCAGGTTCCAATATGAGAAGGTTTTGAAGGTAGATTAGCCTGACGGCAGTGACCAAGCCCAGAGTTCCCAGTTTTCCAATGTCATACCACCAAAACAGCATAATGGCTGCATGTCATGTCTGTGGTTTGGGTCGACGTCTCATACTGTCGTCAAGTGCAAGGCATGTGTGTAACTTTTAATGGGTCAGTAGCAAAAGCATATGTATTTCGACTGCCAACCCTGAGACGCATAGCTCACATAATCCAAGCCAAGCCACGATTAGTTTGTCTATCCGATTTGTGTGACAAGACCCCACCCGACCATACATCGGGCTGAGATTGGCGACGTAGGCCCTGCCTGCGTTGCGATAACAAATTTGAGATGCAGAACAGGGGTGCCTCAAATGTGTGCATGCGCGCAACATCATCAGAGCGCAGACCCGGCACTGGTGATGAAAGGTGGATCACGCCCGGCACGCTGACCGACGCTGCGTCGCCAACATCCTTGTGTACGCAATACAGATCCGTTGCCGCATACGTACACGGGGATTGCCTGATTCGTATGAGTGCGTGGCATCGGGTTTTGTACACCAGGCAGCCGAACCCGGGTCGCCGTTTTCGGAGGACGCTGTCTGTCAAAGCCCGGTCACGCAACGTTCTGGCCAGGCGCCGAATACTTCATTAGGGCCAGGCGTCATTACTTCAAGCAGCGTTCTGGCCAGGCGTCGAATATTTCATTAGGGCCACGCGCGATTACTTCAAGCAACGTTCTGGCCAGGCGCCGTGTCTCGCTCCCACCGCTGTCAAAACCCTTTGACTCCGCTGCTACGAATAACCCACACAAAGAACTGCCGCTACGACCCAGCGTTTACATCTTGGGCTGTTACCGCCGCCAAGCTCAATAACATCCACCGCCGGCGCCGATCATGACCTATTGATCGGAGCCTTCTCTCTCCCTCCAGGTGTTCTCGAACGGCAAGATGGCCGTCGACCACATGAGTCTGAACATGTACGAGGGCCAGATCACCGCCCTGCTGGGGCACAACGGCGCCGGCAAGACCACCACCATGTCCATGCTCGTCGGTGGGTGACCTCTCGACCGCGGTCTGTGGCGTTTTTTTTTACTTGTCGCCACGTCAGCAAGGGTCAATGCTGATCGCTGAGCGCTTAGGTGATGCTATTGATTCATGGGAATGCTGTGCTCTTTGAGAGCACGCCGAACCCATCAGCTAGTGGGCCTGGCAGCAGACAACTGTTTTTCACCAGTGATCTATGCTTTCAGCTGCATTATGATACTGCCTCAGCCTGCGGAACCTGCATTGGTGCGTGGGCTTCAGGCAAGCCATTATAACATTATTGGGGCAACAATATCATGTCTATTCATTGTACTTATGCTTTTTGTCTGTAATTACAACGCTGTCACTTGACGATGTGTCTGTTTTACACCGCAGTAGATCCTCTTGATTCTCTGGTGATTTTTTCCTGGCATTGTATGTAACTTCGGTAACTGATTTCCTACCCAGATTAATATTTTCAGCAACTTGTACGCCTCTTTCAAGACCAGTTAATAGGTCGGATATTTTATGCCATTCACCAGCGGTCCCCTTTCAGCACGCTCGCACCGACAAACACTACCAATACTGATACTTTCATGAAATCCCATTACCATGTGCGTCTGACACATCCGTTCAGAGTGCGCTTTCAACGGCACACGTAAGCTTCACGTCTATAAGCTTCACGTCTTTCTATAAAAAAACACCAGTGAACATCCCAGAGCCCACCCCCGTCCCCCTCCCCCCGCACCCCTAACTCAGCACAGCACAGCCTGCCGTTCCTCCTCCCACACCGGCTTCCGCTGCGCCTGCAGCTCCATCACTGTTTGCCAGGCCTGTTCCCGGCCTCGTGGGGCACGGCCCTCATCAACGGCTACGACATCCGGACGGATACGGACGAGGTGCGCTCGTCCCTGGGCATCTGTCCGCAGCACGACGTCCTCTTCGACGAGCTCACGGTGGCCGAGCACATCCGCTTCTTTTGCATGGTGAGCGACGCCGATGTGAGTTGGTGCTCAGTGGTGCAGGGTCTGGTTGGTGCAGGGTCTGGTTGGTGCAGGGTCTGGTTGGTGCAGGGTCTGGTTGGTGCAGGGTCTGGTTGGTGCAGGGTCTGGTTGGTGCAGGGTCTGGTTGGTGCAGGGTCTGGTTGGTGCGGGGTCTGGTCGGTGCAGGGTCTGGAGTCCGGAGTCTGGAGTCTAGAGTCTGCCTCCCTCCCTGTCTCGCGGTTCGTCCTTCCCACTGCCGTAGCCTGAGACGAAGCCGCCGGCCTGCCACGGCTCGAAAGTGGCGCGTCGACGTTTTTGTAATGTGTCGATTTGTGCAACGCCACGGGC